ATCCTGCACTTCGAACTAAAATTCAATTAAAAAGAAAGCCAACCATAAGCCATGATGGATAGTTACCAGGTGAAGCTGGGGGTATAATAGCCGTAGCAGATAACATGATAGGAAAATGTATGTATTTAAGCCACTTAGTTTTAGGATATTTTTTCGTGAGAAGCCAAGTTGGAATTGGAAGTAGTGCGCCAGCAAGAAAACCCAACAATAATGGTGAATAAAGAGATTTTGTGCCAAATATTTTTGCAGGTCCTAGTATGAACAACATAAGAATTGGTTTCTTTTTAATAAAATAATATCTACATACCAATTGCACCCCATATAATTGATGCACTGTAGAATACATTAGCTTTGGGACATTTCCAATTAGGATTTTCTAAAGTACAAATATGTGGAACAGTATCCATGATATAGATAGCTGATACATAGTTGACAACACCAGCTACAACTGTACTCGTTAATTGAGTAACAAATATTGCACGTGGTGGAATCTGAAGATTAACACGTATAATTTATTAAGGAACTAATTATTTTTTATACCTTCATATAATGTCCAAATTTTAGATCCGAAATGAGTGATAAAGCTTGATGGTGTGTTATAGATCCGTAAGTTTTAAATGTAACATTAGCTATCGGTTTACCGGGCATAAGAAAACCAGCAATAAGTTCAGTAATCGGACTGAGTTCTGATTGAACATTTTGTTTATGTAACAACTCAAACTTTTATAGAAGAGAAAGGAATGATCACATACCGATTGATTGATTAGTAAGTGCTTGAACGATTCCAGTTGGTAATACAAAAACAAATGCAATTGTAACAGCAGCTACATACATATATAACAATAACAACATAGAAAATAATGATATTAAAAAAAAGATTTCTATTTCATTGCGAAGTGATTCTCAATTCCAAACTGTACTTATTATAAATGTCAAGGTTTTAATCAACTTACTAAACATATGATACCAAGGCATCAAGTCTCCGAAATGACAAACAAGAGTAGCTAGAGTAAACGCAACAACAAATAAAGTCATATACCTAATTCAAAAATATATTGATATTCTGTCTATAATAGAAAATTCGTGTACATACCACCAACATGGTGCCTCGTCATAACGAGACATCAATTTAGCATGAATATCATCCGAATTATCGTTTAAAGATGATCGAAATTGCTTTAGGATTGTTTTACCTGCAAGAAATAACTCAGCTGACAGTTTCATCCAATTCCAACGACTTACCATAATATAAAACAGTATGAACAATAACAGCAGTAATAGAAGCAAATGATGTAGCATATGAAAAGGCAAACATAACGGGCAATCGAAGATCGCCTATAAAACATTTCTGGATGCATATATCAGAGATCATGAGTTAATGAAGAATTCGATTTGGTGGCAAATTTAAATTAACACTAATAATTTTTGTAGCAAAATTGATAAAAACATATATTAGGACGAGGGGTGAACTCGAAAAGAATGCTATATCTACCATCATAAGCAAATTCAGTACTGTGATTCAGGAACCGAGCTACAGATCGTTTAAAAATACGGCGTTATAATGATATGATAGTATAGTAGTATACTGGTCCTCATGGTGTAAAAAATATACGCGTATAGTGATTTAAGGGGAGATACAGGGACAATTAGACCATTTATACCACTATACCACTAAACTGCCACACCGCTATGCTGCTTTGCTATCTATAGTGCTGGAAATACGTAGTTTCACTATTATAGTTTATGCTTCTTTCATTTTCTCACAAATTAACTAGCTATTTTTTCAACGACTTTGCCACAAAATCATATTCTTCAGCCTACGAAGAATATTTTCACTAGATAATATACCATATCTTTCATAAGCAGTTTCGTTTAAATGCAATCTTGAATCGAGTACGCTCGATACATTATAATAATAGCCATCTACAGTAAAAACTCGATTACTAACAATTGGCATTGATTTTGAATTCCACAGATTGGTATAATATGCAATAGGTACTATAATCCATGCTACGATAACAAAACCGATCAGCTTATTCATTTGAGCCCTATAACAATACGAAAATGAAGACAAAATATCGAGATAAAGCAAATAACATGCCAGAGAGGAACGACGATTGGTGAACCCAAAAACGAAACCCATGAATTCCAATCTAATTCTATGGAGCCAATTCCAAGACCATTTATTCCTGTAAGTTGTGAAAAAAATACATCATCTGGTTTTAACATACATGACCAGGAGAAAAGAGAT